AAATATATATATATATATATATATATATATATATATATATATATATATATATATATATATATATATCTTAATTCGAACTGCAAGTACATAAGTAAAGACCACCTCTCCGCTATAGATCAAGAAATGCAAAATCTATTCCATTAACACTTTATATCAACAGAGACAGCAGGCATTTTAGCTAAGCATATTAAAAAATAAGTCACATGAACGAGTTAATGGCACATAAATATGGCAGATCTTAGGCTAAAATGAAAGTTTTACCAGGAGTCGATGCAGTGCCTTGTTTGCCATAGGAAACAAAGCAAACCAAAGCAGTCACCATTGTCAAGAACATAACAGAGAACCCAACAAAAGCCTTCATATTGCGAGTACACAAAAAGAGCTCACCAACTGTGAGATAATAAGAATGGTCTGGTTCTTGCTTCACACCCTTTAAAGAAAAACTTTGAATATATATTCAGCCCATTATTTGAAAAGTTTGTTTGGAACCCGCGTTTTCGGATTCTGAAAACTAACAATGGACCAGAAAATCCGTGGAGATAAGAAGAATTAGAAAAGCATTCTAGCCCATGTTGCAGTCTCTATATGTACATGTATAAAATAAATTAATATCATAATACAGTCGGACCACTCTACAAAAGTATTTTTATACAACACTCATTCATTATAAAAACCAAGTTTTTCTCGAAACCGATTTTTATATTATGTTATAATATATGTCTTTTATAACAACACTTTACTATAGCAGCTAAAAAATATCGAAACAAACAAAACTATTATAGAGAAGTTTGACTGTATTGAGAAAAAGAAAATGAAAAATAAGATAGAGAAAGAGAAGTAATAGAATAAAGAATACATTTTTTTGGGTATTGACTCCTGAAGAAGAACATGTGGGTGTCACTGTATTTGGAGTGCAGTGAATATTGGGGAGCAGTAAATGAGAGAGTAAATGCTCTTTGATGTTGAGACTGTTGAGTTGCAGAAAAAAAAAACAGTGGGGAATGAAGCGAATTGAATGCCATAGTATGGTGAAAAACGAGCCATTGCAGTCTTTTGATGTTGAAGATTGTTTTTTTGGACACGATACCACATTTCCCCTGTTACAGTAAGAGGGAAAATTTTTCGGCTTCTTGCTACGCTCAAAACTTAGTACTTATTTCTTTTGTAAGTATCTTATTGGTCCTTAATAGGAGGGCATGTCGCGGCTTCAAATTTTTGAGGACATGGCGTTTGATAGAAGAGTGTGAAGGTCGAGAATTAGGGTTGAAAGTTAAGAGGTATTTGGACGTTTTTCTACTCCGTACCGGGTGTGAGATTAGTTTGATAGTAGTATTTTGTCTTAGACTGCTAGTGGTTAATATTGTGTTAATACTATTTTCCGTTTTCATAGTACCGTGCCATTATTACTGGTTATTGTTATTGTTTTTCAATCTATTTTCTAGTTTTTAAGATGCTGGTATTATCTTTTTGGCTTCTGTTATTGGTATCTATTGTCTCTTTTCGTCTTCTTGAACCGAGGGACTATCAGAAACAACCTCTTTATTGTACCTTAGTGTATTGGGGATGCCAATGGTCGAAAAATGGATGCTGCATACTAGGGGTGGCAAATGAGCGGGTTAGACTGAATTTGGCCGGGTCAAGATGGGTTAAGTCAATAAATGGGTTATTGCCCAACCCAACCCAACCCAAAGTGTACTTGGACTAAGATTGGCTGAGTCAAGATGGGCTAAACAATGGGTATAGCCCAACCCGCCCAACTTGACCCATGTTTTAGAAACATGCTCATCTTGCATAAACAAAGCCTTTTATCTTTTATACACATATGTATAAAAGGTAAATAAATACTATTAGTATTTTGAGAATCAAAATATATTTCTTAAATTATAAATTAGTATTTAAAATGTGTAAGTTGAAAAATATTTTGCGGGTGGG